CGCTTGAGTTTTTCAGTACACTTGAGTTCCGGAAGGATACTAATCAGGCCGAGTATATGACATGTCGTTTGCTTGGGACGAAGAGGCTCATCACGGACAAGATCATGGAAGAAGTCGTGGGCCTCCACAGCGGCGACGCTAGGATGTATGAAGGAATTTCTTTTGTTAGCTTTTGGCCCGCACTTTCTCCTGACACGTTGTGGGACTCTCAGGGCATGGCTAATGGCCTCATCAAGGACGGTGTTGTCGCTGTGATGCACAAATTTTTGTGCTACGGTGTATTCGGGAAGAAGGAAGCCAACAAGGTCACTGGACTTGATCTTACCCTGCTGTGGGTTATGCTCGAGGGGAAGCGCCGCGATATGTTGGATATATTTAAGGACGAGTGTCGGGCCGTCCCTCGGAACAAGAGAGCGGCAGCCTGCTTTGGCCATATAGTGACCGCTCTGGCACTGCACTTCCACGTTGACCCGGTGGCATCTGGCAGCCCTCCTACTAGTATGCGGTTCATTGATGCTTACGAGCTCACTCACTCGGGCCTCATCTGTGATCGCCACACCTTTGAGGATTATACGAGGCGCCCGGCCTACACCGCCTACATGAAGAAAGTGAGTGCAGCCGCTTCCACAGCTCGGGCAAGCTCGTCTCGTCCCCCGCATGATGCCGATGATACCCATGAGACGGAGGAGATGGAGCATGATCAGCCTGTTCTCGACGATAGTCGTCTACTTCCGCCTCCTTCCGGTTGGCAGCCCGCCCCTGAGCCTGATCCAGAGCCCGAACGCCGAGCGCCCCGATCCCCACATCATCATCAGCAGCATCCGGCTGCGTCTTCTGCCCCTCCAGCTTGGTGGTCCCAGCCTCCTCCGTGGTGGGCAGAGTTCGAGGAGCGTTACGACAGAGACATGCGAGGTTTCGACGCGCGCTTTCAGGCTCTTGAGGCCCGGTGGGATGCTCAGTATGGTCCCAGCGCCGGCCAGCCCCATCCTCCTCCTCCCCATAGTCCAGGACCACAGTGACTTGTCACTGTGTCGGTCAGCTTTTCTTTTCTTATCTCTTTTATTTTTATTTTATTTTCTGTATTTTCTCTTCTTTGTTGAGTCGGTTGATTGTGTGGTACAACTCCCATTCGCTGAAAGTCGACAATGAGGACATTGTCTGCTCTTAAGTGTGGGGGAGCTTTTGCATTTTATGTGGCTATGTGGTTGACCAGGTCTAGTTTTATTTTTAGGTCGTTTTATTTCTTTCTTTTGCGTGGTGGACCAGTCTAGTTTTGGGTTTTTATTTGTTTCTGAACTTGGATTATGGTGTATTGTAAGACTGGTTGAAAACTGTTGGTTGATTTTGAGAAGTTGTGATGATGTGATCGAGTATTGCATTTTGATTGATTGGCTTGGTTATTTTGAGGAACATATTTACCTTGTGAGGTTTGAGCCTATTTTGTTTCTTGTGTGATATTGGTCAGATCTTGTCAAGTAGAATTTGCCTTGAGACTGCTTTGAAATAACTCGACTAGATTTGTGAAACATGAATATGATTGAGGCAATTCTTGTATTTCCCTTTTCCTTTTTATTTTCGTGAATAACAGTCACTAGTTACCCCCTTTGAGCCTTGATCGATTTTATTGATTAGCCTCGTGATGATGATATTGAGTTGCGGGTTGAATGTTGGAGGTGATAGTTGATTGCATTGTATATATGTTTATCTGCTTTGAAAAAAAAAAAATGGGAAAGCCAAATGGATTATACTCCTAGCGCTCTGTCCACTAATGTAGTGGATAAGGGCCATGAGTACGGGAAACCGGTCTAGGAGACTCGGGCAGAAAACCCGAAGGCTAAACCTAGATAAGACGTCCAAATGGTTTTCGCAAA